TGAAAAGGATAAAATTCAGTGAAAGTTTCAGCTTTCTATCTATAATAGAAAAAAAGTTATGACCTTTCAAAGTTTTCCAAAAAAATCATAAGGGGGGTACCTTCCTACTAAAACGATGAAATTTCAATTTTTTTTTTGTCGAGATTTTGCATCCTAATGGTCAATCAACATAGCCCAAACTCCATACACTAAATTTTTCTCAGATTTGAAGCCGAAATCTATGAAAAAAGGCACTCACAAAAATTGAAAAAACTGATAAATCACCCCAAATTGCTTAACACGATTTTATCTCAGGAACTATAAGTGCAAATGAGCTGAAATTTTCAGGGATTGTAGTCCTTTGAAAAGGATAAAATTCAGTGAAAGTTTCAGCTTTCTATCTATAATAGAAAAAAAGTTATGACCTTTCAAAGTTTTCCAAAAAAATCATAAGGGGGGTACCTTCCTACTAAAACGATGAAATTTCAATTTTTTTTTTGTCAAGATTTTGTATCCTAATGGTCAATCAACATAGCCCAAACTCCATACACTAAATTTTTCTCAGATTTGAAGCCGAAATCTATGAAAAAAGGCACTCATAAAAATTGAAAAACTGATAAATCACCCCAAATTGCTTATCTCAGGAACTATAAGTGCAAATGAGCTGAAATTTTCAGGGATTGTAGTCCTTTGAAAAGGATAAAATTCAGTGAAAGTTTCAGCTTTCTATCTATAATAGAAAAAAAGTTATGACCTTTCAAAGTTTTCCAAAAAAATCATAAGGGGGGTACCTTCCTACTAAAACGATGAAATTTCAATTTTTTTTTTGTCAAGATTTTGTATCCTAATGGTCAATCAACATAGCCCAAACTCCATACACTAAATTTTTCTCAGATTTGAAGCCGAAATCTATGAAAAAAGGCACTCATAAAAATTGAAAAACTGATAAATCACCCCAAATTGCTTATCTCAGGAACTATAAGTGCAAATGAGCTGAAATTTTCAGGGATTGTAGTCCTTTGAAAAGGATAAAATTCAGTGAAAGTTTCAGCTTTCTATCTATAATAGAAAAAAAGTTATGACCTTTCAAAGTTTTCCAAAAAAATCATAAGGGGGGTACCTTCCTACTAAAACGATGAAATTTCAATTTTTTTTTTGTCGAGATTTTGCATCCTAATGGTCAATCAACATAGCCCAAACTCCATACACTAAATTTTTCTCAGATTTGAAGCCGAAATCTATGAAAAAAGGCACTCACAAAAATTGAAAAACTGATAAATCACCCCAAATTGCTTATCTCAGGAACTATAAGTGCAAATGAGCTGAAATTTTCAGGGATTGTAGTCCTTTGAAAAGGATAAAATTCAGTGAAAGTTTCAGCTTTCTATCTATAATAGAAAAAAAGTTATGACCTTTCAAAGTTTTCCAAAAAAATCATAAGGGGGGTACCTTCCTACTAAAACGATGAAATTTCAATTTTTTTTTTGTCAAGATTTTGTATCCTAATGGTCAATCAACATAGCCCAAACTCCATACACTAAATTATTCTCAGATTTGAAGCCGAAATCTATGAAAAAAGGCACTCATAAAAATTGAAAAACTGATAAATCACCCCAAATTGCTTATCTCAGGAACTATAAGTGCAAATGAGCTGAAATTTTCAGGGATTGTAGTCCTTTGAAAAGGATAAAATTCAGTGAAAGTTTCAGCTTTCTATCTATAATAGAAAAAAAGTTATGACCTTTCAAAGTTTTCCAAAAAAATCATAAGGGGGGTACCTTCCTACTAAAACGATGAAATTTCAATTTTTTTTTTGTCAAGATTTTGTATCCTAATGGTCAATCAACATAGCCCAAACTCCATACACTAAATTTTTCTCAGATTTGAAGCCGAAATCTATGAAAAAAGGCACTCACAAAAATTGAAAAACTGATAAATCACCCCAAATTGCTTAACACGATTTTATCTCAGGAACTATAAGTGCAAATGAGCTGAAATTTTCAGGGATTGTAGTCCTTTGAAAGGGATAAAATTCAGTGAAAGTTTCAGCTTTCTATCTATAATAGAAAAAAAGTTATGACCTTTCAAAGTTTTCCAAAAAAATCATAAGGGGGGTACCTTCCTACTAAAACGATGAAATTTCAATTTTTTTTTTGTCAAGATTTTGCATCCTAATGGTCAATCAATATAGCCCAAACTTCATACACTAAATTATTCTCAGATTTGAAGCCGAAATCTATGAAAAAAGGCACTCAGAAAAATTGAAAAATTGATAAATCACCCCAAATTGCTTAACACGATTTTATCTCAGGAACTATAAGTGCAAATGAGCTGAAATTTTCAGGGATTGTAGTCCTTTGAAAGGGATAAAATTCACTGAAAGTTTCAGCTTTCTATCTATAATAGAAAAAAAGTTATGACCTTTCAAAGTTTTCCAAAAAAATCATAAGGGGTGTACCTTCCTACTAAAACGATGAAATTTCAAATTTTTTTTTGTCGAGATTTTGTATCCTAATGGTCAATCAATATAGCCCAAACTCCATACACTAAACTATTCTCAGATTTGAAGCCGAAATCTATGAAAAAAGGCACTCAGAAAAATTGAAAAATTGATAAATCACTCCAAATCGCTTAACACGATTTTATCTCAGGAACTATAAGTGCAAATGAGCTGAAATTTTCAGGGATTGTAGTCCTTTGAAGGGGATAAAACTCAGTGAAAGTTTCAGCTTTCTATTTATAATAGAAAAAAAGTTATGACTTTTCAAAATTTTCCGGAACTTAAACGATGAAATTTCAAAAAATCTTTTTTCTATGAGTGTGCGAGAAATGGCTCTTCCCGCGCGATTTGCTGTGCGGGATGACTTTCTTCCCGCACCGGTGTGGGAAGAAATTTCTTCCCACGAAGAGTTTGAAATAATCATTGTGACATTGAATTGTTTGTATTGTTGATACACCTATACCTGTACCTTTACCTTTTTATAAATATCTTTTAATACATTTTTAATTCTACCTTCTGCATAATCGCATTTTATTTAAATTAAATTCTTTGTAACATCAGCTTTAGTATGCTCGTAGAAAAAATATAGTTCCTAACTCTTGCGGGAAGAAATTTCTGGCACTCGGGCGCTTTGCACCCTTGTGCCGGAAATTTCTCTTCCCGCACTCGTTAGGAAAATAGCTATTGTTGAGATTTTATGATTTTATAACAAAAAATTCCCAAACTGCTTCAACTGAGGCATCAACATTCCTTTGGATAAATTGAAAATTTAAAAATGGTAAAACACAACACGTGAACTGTCTGATTATGGTATCTTCCTTAAATAAATAAATAAATAAATAAGTCTTTATTTCCAACAGGAATAATCCCAATTACAGGAAAAAGTACAAAAAAAAAAAATTAAATAAATAAAAATAACAAACAAACAAATCTATAAAGTAAAAAAACAAAATAAAAAAACAAAAAATAGAGTAGGTAGACCCAAAAATGGTGTTCAAGTAGATGCGAGTAAACTATAATTAAGGCAGGATAACAAACAAAATCAAAGTATAGTGTAACAATTGTAACAAAAAAAAAAAAAAGAGAAGGTAACCAAGTCAAGCAAAAATCTAAACATTCAGTACAGCCTGAATTATTGATTGTATAGAATCGACATTCATGTCACAGTGTCCAGAAACCTCATTAAAAACTCTGCACATAAAATATAAAGGACTTCTGTATAACATGTTGGTTCTGGCAGTGTGCAAATAAAATGTCTCATTATACCTACCCACCAGCCTGGGGACCCTGTAATAAATGCTCTCAATAAGATTTGGACAGTCTATTTTACCATGCAAGAGGTTATACAGAAACTTGACAGCTTGGAGCCTTCGTCTCTGAGCCAAAGACACTTCATCAAACTCCAAAAGTAACGCAGAAAATAGAAAATAATTTCCACCATATGATTACAGCAAAGTACTTACTGGAAAAAAGAGTTTATTCTGCTATAAGCGAAATTAACAACTCCTAGGATAAAATAGGTCAGTTTCTGCAGAAATCACAAACCAGTCAGAGTGAATTTGTTGAAAACAGTCAGAAAACTAGTTTCAACTAATGAAACTTACTCTATTTGGTTTGTGATTTTTACAAAAACACACCCAATATTATCATTTTCTTCCCTTAACCTTTCACATATGTATTCAAAAAAATGTTTACAACTTTTCCTTGTAAACACATAAAGGGTGTGTTTTTTCCTTAGACTATGTTTTTTCTATGATAATAAACCAATATTCAAAATCAACAGCTTCAAGAGAAATCTGAATATTTTTTTGTACCTAAACAAAAATACCTTCAATGTGACTCCACCTTGAAGTGCACCAACTTCAGTGCAATTTTTAGAAGTTTACTTGATTTTTACAGTCAGTCAGAACTTTTTTGGAAATTGTAATTATTGCCAAGAAATTTCAACAATAAATAATTCTTTGTAGTTAAGTGATGAGTAATAGACTATAGAATTTCTAGTGGAATAAATAAGTGCATTAACAAAATAGATTGACAACAATGAATGGTGAAAGTAATAATGTTAAAAAAAAACCTTGCAGTTCAAAGATCAATAAAGGAGTAATTCTTTAGAAAAAGAATCACCCACCTTGGTGTGTTTTTGTCTCGAATAATTCTAGAAGGACAAGGCAATGGCCTACAAGGATTTCTGTGAAATTTTGAGGATTTGGATTAAAGTGGAAAATTTCCGAATGAATTTTGAAACAACAACAACGTGACGTGTACCTGGATCACCCTAATTTTGGGTGACAAATGGTCGATACTTACCATCCGCTTATATAAGTAAAATTGAAATGTACAGCTTTAATAGAACGCAAATGTGATGTTAGAACTTAGAAATTCCAAAGGATGTCGGTGCATTAACGAATTCCAGCCCAAGATGTCTCGCGGCCATAAGTTCATTGATACAAGGCCTGGTAGGCGATGAAAACCGATTAGTGGGCGCAACAAAAACGCAATTTAAAAGAGAAAAAAATCGTACCTCAGAGACGGAATCCTCTTCGCTTTCCGATGTTTCCGACATGAATCTGCGATTTTCCGAATAAGTTTCCGTCTCAGATTTTGTCGGAGTCGAGTTCGTCGATTGGGGAGTAGACGACGAAAGGTTCCCTATATCGTGCTGCTGCTGATTGTTCACTCTTTCTAATCTCGTTTCGTCGGCGCCCGTATCTTGCGGTACATTCTGCATATTTGCATCGCAATCGGGCTTTATTCGCGTACGATTTTCTGGATAAATCCGTCCTCGATTCACTTTACCGTCACGTTAATCAAAGCAAATTCTATTCGGTGTTCACATTAATTTCGTCGCGGTAGCCATTTTCCACTATGGCGGACACAGGCAAAAAACGGAGTTCCGTATTTTTCGTTTCCCACGCTTGACGCGACATCTATTGTCTGAACAACTTCAAACCCATAGATGACATTACTAGACTTTTATTATTTATCAGTCAAATTTGCTGTTATTTTAAGCGGGATTTTCAAATAAATTCACTCGTTTACCTAATATTTTGCACTAAATCCATTCGCACTTGTACTGTAATCTACAAATAAATCTTAGTGCAAAAAGTGCAAGGTAAAGAAACCTGTAATACTATTAGTATTACCCACCAATTGTAGATGGCGCTACATTCGCAAGCAATTTTTAGCACACTAGACAGCGACGATCCAATTCAGTGGGGTTTTTTTCCACTAATTATAACTTTCCTCTAATTACTTTGGTGGGTAAATTAAAATGAGAAAACTACATCTTTTTCTTTTTTTTTGTTTAAAGAATTTTGATTATTTAATAGATATTATTAATCAAATTAACAAATTATTTTCATTTTATAAATAGCAAAATATTAAAGCAAAACATGGTAGTCAAATGGGCTCTTTCACTAAATTTGCAATGTGCATATTATATAGATATACAATGATAATAATATAGATAAATGCATAAAAATAGTTAGGGCCGGTTTATTCATCACCTTATGATAAACTGTCAGATAGTGTAATCTATAATCCTATTGGTCAGCCAGTTACCTACCAGTCAAGAAATACAATTATAGACGGGTAAATTTATTTTGCAGATAGGGTAGATTCGCCTATAGTCGGCCCCCACCCGGTAGTCGGCCGTTGTTGCAATTTTATATAAATATTAGTTGATTCCGTCCATAAAATCAAAAACCTACACATTTAAAAATTCGTTTAGGCCCGGTACTTTCACCTCAGTATAAATATAATTTATTCGGCGAATAACTATCTATCCCATAGATGACACTACTAGACTTTTATTATTTATCAGTCAAATTTGCTATTATTTTAGGCGGGATTTTCAAATAAATTCACTCGTTTACCTAATATTTTGCACTAAATCCATTCGCACTTGTACTGTAATCTACAAACAAATCCTAGTGCAAAAAGTGCAAGGTAAAGAAACCTGTAATACTATTAGTATTACCCACAAATTGTAGATGGCGCTACATTCGCAAGCAATTTTTAGCACACTAGACTGCGACGATCCAAATTCTATGAATAATTTTTTAAATTAATTCAGTGGGGTTTTTTTCCACTAATTACTTTGGTGGGTAAATTAAAATGAGAAAACTACATCTTTTTCTTTTTTGTGTTTAAAGAATTTTGATTATTTAATAGATATTATTAATCAAATTAACAAATTATTTTCATTTTATAAATAGCAAAATAGTAAAGCAAAACATAGTAGGGTCATTTCACTGGTTCTCGGCCTGCTAAGTAAGAAATCGACTTTGGAGATGTAGTTAATATGGAAAAAAGTGTCGGATCAACAATGTGAGGATAAATCTTTGGAATGTTTTTTATCAAAAATTAGTCGTCTAAACCATGCTTTAGATACAAAAAACGAAAAAAAAGAAAAATTGAAAAAACGTAATTTTTTTGGTTCTCGGTCACTCGCCGCAGATCTCGGCCAATTTTATATCAGTTCTCGGCCATACGAATTCCAGGTAGGTACCTATTCGAAAAAGACGTCTGATGTCATCCAGCCTTTCTCGGATTTGCCTAGAACCCATCCACACAACTGCACGAGCTTTATTGATGCCTTCTGCTTCTCTCAACGAGATTTCTGGGTTTCTTCTCATGAAGTTAGAGTACCAAGTTTGCTTCGGCATTCCTCCTTTAAATAAGTTCAGGCCAGATTCTACATTAATTTTCGATACAGTCTCCAACAACATGTTCTATTTAAAGGGAAATCAACATTTGGAAAGCTTAATCACCCATTCTTTAATAATTTTTTTGCCTTCTTCAGTTAATAGAGGCTGCGTGGTCCTGGTTTCCTCAGCTCATCAGGAACTCGACCAATAAGCCGGTCTTGAAGTGTCGTTCTCGGGACTTTATACCTTCTACTGGCTTCACGAACTGAGATATTGTTGATTCGGACTTCATGTAAATCTTTTTTTAAATCCATTTCAGAATATTGAAACATGGTTCGTTTAGCTACTGCTTTTGTTTGCCTTGGGTCTGACAGTTGTTTTTTTCTTGGAACTTACACTTTTTTTGTGGGAGCCACTAAAAAAGACAGAAACAAAAACTTTTCTTTTAGCAAAATTGTTTAGGTCTCTGAGTTATCTTAAATGATGGGTACTTTAACTTTAACTTCGTTGACCAGTCAGAAACAACTACTCCGAGGGCAAATACCCCTACCGGCGTTGAACTACACTCTGATTGGTCTGAGCTTTCGTTGGCAATAGAAATTGTTAGAAAGATTTTTACAGGTAATGACCAACGTGAATACAGGGACACTTCGGTCCCTGTTTGGGAATCGGCCCACTGAGCAGTGGACTCAGGCTTCCCGTGCCAATCCTTGACGCGTTTCGTCCTTGTTAGGACTCATCAGAAGGACATAGGCTGAAGCTCGGAGTAGTTGTTTCTGACTGGTCAACGAAGTTCAATTTTGCTTGGACAGGGAGCTTCAGCCTATGTCCTTCTGATGAGTCCTAACAAGGACGAAACGCGTCAAGGATTGGCACGGGAAGCCTGAGTCCACTGCTCAGTGGGCCGATTCCCAAACAGGTACCGAAGTGTCCCTGTATTCACGTTGGTCATTACCTGTAAAAATCTTTCTAACACTTTAACTTTAGTAAGGTAGGTGGTATAGGTACCTACTCCATTGAACATGCAATCAGGAATTGTATAATGGCCGACAATTGAAACACACAAAATATATGGATCCATGGGTTCTCGGCCACACTCAACCAAATAGTAGCATAAATATAAAGAAGTTGTTCTTTGATTTAATGAACAATTCATTAAAATCGGTCCAAAGAACGGCTTCTTTGATCACATGAACTCTACGTTATTGAAGTATGAACAATTTCTTAATTCCTATTTCGATTCATCTTGTGTATGAACAACAAACATTAAGGTATGTAGCAAGGTTTTTGTATTAATGAAACTTTTCATAGTAACAATAAACATCGTTCTTAGTTTATATGTACTTTTTCGTTGTCCTGATGAACAGACGGCATAATATTAATGAAGCCCAGATATAATTCGATGAAACCCTTTCATTGTATTTATGAATTACAGTCTTGAATACTAAGAATTTCATTCATTGTATTTATTAAGGACGTTTTCAATAATATGTACCATATTCTTTATTTTTATTAAAATAATTTCATGAATTATGCCTTAAATATACTTATGATTTTAAATGGGGTAAAGGGTCATTTTTTATATTTGCGTGTCCCCTGTACTGATGAATATGAGCAATAGGAAAAAAGCTTTTAATGCAAAAGTTGCATGGTTTCTTCGTATCATCTTCCAGAATTGTCAAACAAACCAATGGGCATCCCAAAATCTGAAAATTTAAAAATCTAAGTACCTACTTATGTATTTTTATTTTAAATGACACTAACCGTATATTCTATTATCTTCCAAATCCTCCTTAAATCCTGTTTCCATAAATATATAATATATCTATATTTGTTCCAGCTGTTTTTGAACTATCAACATCCAAAGTTTCTAAAACAAGCCACATCAGAAAATTAGATTTGATGCCTTGGCTGGTTTCCTTGCCTCGGCTATGAAACACTAGCTGCGGTATTGAATCTTCTGCTTTTCTACCTAGTGAAACAAAACCATTTAACAAAAATATATCGATTAAAGAAATTACAACTTGATTTGGGATTGAGTATACTTACTTTTAGAGACTTCAGTATTCCTTAGAAATTCTGAGGAGCTCTTGACGCTTTTGTCTTTCACGTTCTCCCCGAATGACATTTAAATCTGTAGGTCATTTCTTTCGCATTCCCATTTTGAGACTAGACCGTCTCCATGCAAGGCATCAAAGTCCTACCTACATAATAGGTATACATATTATAGAGGTAATAGAGGTATACAACTTACCTTTAGAAAAAACCGGCGACAGGTATAATCGACTTTCTATTTAACACTTCGAACAACACAAAACCGAAAAGACCGACTTGAACGAAGTGCGTAGCAATGCACCCAGAAAATAGAAATGTAATTATTCTTATTTCAACATATTTTTCTATGTCGTTGCCCGACTGCAGCTACCTTTGCGCATGTACTTAGGAACTGTCTACATTAATGCTATGAACTGTTTCATTGTATTTATGATTTATCCTGATGTAATGGTTGCAGCTTTGTTTCTAGGAATACTTGCTTGTTTTAAATGAACCGTACATTGTATCAATGAATTTCGTTCTTAAAAGGATAAGTTTCTAGTAAGGTTATATGAACCATATTCATATTATTCATGTTAATATTCATTTATATTATGAATATTCCGTGGAAGCTCCCATCAAAGAAATTTTCTTTAATATCAAGGTTTAATTTCATAATATCAATGAACTTAGTTCTTGTAACCGATGCACTATTCAACATAGATTCATGTAGATGACTATTCATAACTTAATGAAGCTTCATTCTTTATTTTAATGATAGCTGTTCATGAAATCATAATACTTACACTTTTCTGTACTTGGGATTAATGAAAATTTCACTGAATCAATGAAAATGTAATTTATGAAAGCAGTTCATTGATATTATGATCAAGATTTTTTTGAGTGCACTGAACTCTAGTAGTGGCCGAGATAAGGTAGTTCTCGGCCCCTGAATATTTATGAAAATTGAAGTTCGAAACAAACATTATTTTATGTAATAGGTATTTGACGGCCGCAAACTAATATATAAAAAGGAGATATCCAAATGCACCTGTTAAAATTTTTATTATGTATTAACTATTTACATAATTTGAATGAATTCAAAATAGAAACATTAAACAAGTATATGATTCTCGGCCACATGGCCGAGAACTAAAATACGTGTTTTTTTCAATACTA